ATACAGAGGAAGCAGGTATTGTAGTGAAATAAAGATGATGTAATCAGTCCATCAACCTTGGAGAAAAGGTCTTTGAGGTAGTCAGTCCCTCAGCCTGGAGAAGAGTTTATCTCCAAGGTCTAGAATGATACGAGGCTGAAACACGAGAACGGAGTCTTAAATACTGTCAAATGTGAGGTGGAAGATCTCGAAGGCACTCCAGGGGAAAGGATTTACTAGTAGAAGTAAGAGAGCAGGTAGCTCTGGAATCCAAACCTTTTCACTTACACTTGGTACAACTGTACCAAGATACTATTGTGCTGCAGGGTCTGACAGTAATGCTGAAAATAGTGTAAATATCGACAAGTTGAACAAGTACAACATTTCATCAATAAAGATACCCAACTGTTGCACATGTCAATCTTCAACTTGTCGGTATTTTATACCATTTTCAACAATGTCAGGTTGCAAATAAGTTGTATTTATGCAAATTTTATCATTTTTTTAATACACCAGCTATCTCCTACCAAGGTAGGGTGACCCACTCTTCCCCCACCACCAAAAAAAAAAAAAAAAAAAAAAAAAAAAAAAAAAAAAAAAAATATTAAAAAAATTAAAATATTGTGTCAAAGCAAGGACACATATTGCAGAATTAAAGTCCATTAACTGATAATGAATATCATGGTTAAAATTGTTTATTAGCTCTGCTTTTCAATATACACCTACGTGTCACAACAGGTTCCAACAGGCTTGCAGCAGTGTCTTACCACACTCACAGTATCACTTATGAGAATATAAAGCATATGTTGCAATGCATAAAATATGATGAACATCAACGGCAGCTCTGTGGTGACTTAAATGTTGTTGCTCTTGTGATGGGTTTGCAGGGCAGATACACCATGTACTGCTGCTTTCTATGTAAATGGGACAGCCACCCATGAGAGACTGGTCACCTTGTCAATCATTGGAGCCTGGGATAAAAAATGATCAACATCTACCTCTCACTGAACCAAACAAAATTTTGCTACCACCACTACACATAAATCTGGGGCTCATGAAAAACTTTGCAAAAGCTATTTACAAATCTAGTCAGGGATTCAAGTATTTAACATCAAAATTCCCCTCACTGAGTGATGCTAAGATAAGAGAGGGAGTCTTCAATGGTCCTCAGATTTGAGAGCTTCCTAAAGATGGTGACTTTGAATCAGACCTTCATGGGGAGGAGAAAGCTGCTTGGGAAGCATTCAAGGAATTTCTTGGAAACAGAAGGGAAGGCAACTATGAAGAATTGGTGGAAAACCTCATTAAGGTTTACAAGAGCATTGGATGTAACATGTCACTTAAAATCCACTTTTTGGACTTGCATTTAAACTTTTCTCCAACAAACTGTGGAGCCATTAGTGACAAACATGGTGAAAGGTTTCACCAAGATATTTCATCCACGTAAAAATGGTACCAGGGCAAATAAGCATCAAGCAAAAAGGCAGAGAGTAGGTATGGATTAAAGTTTAAAACATACTGACACATTGTATGTTATAATAAAATAATCAAACATTACATGCCTCGTATCTTTAAACCTGTAGCCAATAAGCATTTTTCAAAGTGATATTTGGATTCAGGACATGAAAATACATAAGAATTAACTAATCTCATTTAAGAAGCATACAACTTTTCAAAATCTGTTGACCAGTGATAGTGGGAGTAATCCAAGGAACCATAGAAGATCCAATTTATTTAATCAAGTGACCTCAGAGACATCAGGCCATATCCACTGAGGGAGGGAGGGAGGGATGGTGGAGTGGGATCAGTACAGTATCAGTATCAGGAAGGGAGCACTAAACCCAAAAAGGTTATGTAGAGCCTGAATAGGGATGGGAGACAACAGTCGCATTGGATCCAAGGAGAGAGAGAGGAGATCCAATTCTTTGCTTCAAAAGTTCTTCACTGTCATCTAGACACCTCTCTTAAAGGGCACAAATGCCTATACCCACACATTAACTTTTATAGTAGAGCACTAAACCCACACAGTGCCTGAGAGGAATGAAATGCAATCAGACTCAGTTCAAAGAAAGGGAGGATAGGACATATCTGTTCGATCAAGAGCCCCTCATCACATGTGATCTTCACTGGGTCCCAGAAAGCAAAATATGCTAAGGTAATTAAGCAGAGAAAAGACTATGACAGAGAAATGCAAAAAGCAAACCAATATATAAAAGCCACAAAGAATATAATGGAAGTTAAACATATCACTTTACAAAAGAAACCAAAGACTGGAGGTCATATAGCTTGTATGGACAGTGGAGGACAGGTGCAACACCTTGCATCAAGCAACCTCCTGAATTTTTATTCTTGATCACACCGCCTTTTTTTTTAAGCAGTTGCCACATCCCTGGGCTCGCTACTTACTGATACAGTTTTGCAAAAAACATGCCTGTATTAAAAAATTCTACTAAATACTAACCATGATATTTCTCTATACAATAGTTTGAATTTTTGTGTAATCAGTAGTGGCAAAATGGAATATTGTGCAAGTGCAAGACTAATGAGGGACTCTAGCTAGAATTAGGCACTAAGCAAACTTTTATTGCTACTTATTTAAACAGAGCACTATGATGACACTTGCATGTACATTTCATCCCCCTCCCTTTTTCTCAGTGCACCAAATCAAAGATAAATACTACTCTGTCTTACCTACAAACCTATAGGGACTTGCTAAACAAATATGCATTTCCACCAAATGCCCTGTTCAGTACATGGCTTGGCCATGAATGCTTTCTAACTCTTGTTTTTACTATTATATGATACATTCAGATATATATCTGCAGTGTAATCTATGAGCATGCAGTTTAATACAGTCTATATTATGCATTTTTGTAAAAGAACAGATACCGCCTACAGTCTTAATTCAAATGAACCAACAGACTCAGAACTAGAGGCAGTTGTGACTCAAATACAAAGTTTCCCTCTTTACTTTGTGAATTAATTGTGGAAAGTTACTTATATAGTGACAGTATAATTATATAGGACCAGTAAACTACTAATGTGATCCTTAGTAGTTCCTGTGCCGTTTTAACTCTTGTGATCCATCCGATGGTTTGTGCTCAGTGTGAATCATCGTGGTGGTGAGGAGTCATCTGAGGGATGCCTGATGAGGGGCCATCTGAGGGATACTTGATGAGAGGACCATCTGAGGGATACCTGATGAGAGGCCATCTGAGGGATTTCTGGTGAGGTGCCATCTGAGGGATACCTATTCAATATTTAGTCTAAACTGGTTTATACTCACATTCATAAAAAAATTAATATAAAGGAAAGTGGTTGGAGTTTGGCAAATCTAACTAGCCTATTCTAAATCAAATCCTATACTAGTGAGGGAGACCTGTAAGCTTAAAATTAAATATAACATGGCTTAGAATTTACAGGGAAGATAACTAGAGCTCACACAAGAGGTGGAGTACAGGAAGTTCAGACTGGTTCAAATAGTTTCCAAATTCACTGTAAGATTATTTGAGAGTGAACAAGATGTGAGCTACAGAAAGAGTTAATTAGCAATGAAACAGATTTCAAAATTATCTAATAATTTTAAAAGATTATTTAAAAATTGAGATACTGTAATACGGATTCAAAATTGTAATATGGATTCTGTGTAAATGCAACTGGTTAACTTATTTTTTTTAATAGCATTTAAAAAAGTCTTGATAATATGCTTTGGAGTCATGGAATACATACTCAAGTTATGTGTAAAAATCACTTTAGTTCGCATAGTCGATTTTCTTCCCTTCAACCCAAGTTGGGATCATCTTGTCCCTTTCTCAGTGTCACCAAATTATTTTGGATCTTTTTTCTCACATCATTTTTATTCTAGATATTAATGTCACTCAAAAGGAATATTAGTGATGCTAGAGGTATCAAGTAGAATAATATAATAATCATCAAGCTCCAAGGGTACTGAAAATGGAAATTTCAAACATGCATATGTGATGTATAATGCCTGTATGTTTTGTCTGAGAAAATTCACCATACATACATGTACAATTAGGGAGACTGTAAGAAAATGTTAACAAGGGTTACAGACTGAGGAGAATACAAGGAAAGGGTCCCTACCTAGTCCTCAGAAAGACACAAAACTCTAATATACAGTACTGGAAAACATTGTTTATGAAGGAAGGAAAGCATTCACAACAGTATATATATATATATTTCTGTAATTGTTTGAAAATTTAAAAAAAAAAGACAATCAGGTTCATAAGTTAAGATGTGGTGTCAAGAGTACAGCAGCTGATCATATTGCCATGCAAAATTTCCTTGCAAACTCTACATAAATTATTTCTGAGAATGGCGACAGTCTAAACCGAGTGTCTAATGCCGACAAAACAGGATAAACCTGAAGGTGCATGCCATGAAAAACTAACATTAACAAGCAAGAAAAAAGTGCAGCTTGTTGCAAAGCAAGTAAACAATGCTCTACTTTGCTTCTCTGCACAAATGCTACAGTTAAACTGCAAGGCAATGGTAATTTACAGTGCTGTAAAACATCAAGACAAAACCTGTCTGCTTCTTATTTGGTAGTCTAACAAGGTGGTATGGATGCCTGAGGCCCTGTATGTTGATATATTTAATTCATTATCTTATTCCATAAAGCTAATCTTATGTTCAAGGCTCAACTCATTCACTCTTGTTAATTCCCATAGTCATCCTCAAATCTTATACTTTGTGGGCTATTGGATGGAGGAATTAGTAAGACATCTCAGTCCAAATACATATGTCCAGTTATGAAAAAACCCATTGAAGTAATGGGTGGTAGCTCTGAGACTGCTGTGCCACAGTTCTGGCATAAATTTAACATTGCAGATTTTCTTGTGTAAATGTAAATGAAGGCTAGAGTTAATTATGACCTTCAGTGATGAATAATTTCTCTGTTTCTTTACCTGTGGAAGGAGTTTGTTACAATAAGTTTTTGTAGATGGGTAGTCGAATATGCTGTAGAGGTTGCGTGGAGGTTATGTATACAGTCATAGGCTAGAACTGGGCTTTATTAATGAAATGGGTACACTAGGCAGATATCTGTTGAGGGTTGCCAGGAGCCAGTCCTAGGGTGAGATGTTGACTGATGTTCTCGTAAGCAGGGAGTGAAAGAGGTGGTTGGTTGGGAGGGCAGTCCTCGGGCCTGCCATCTGCCAGGCACTTCTGAAACTAGGCCTTAGGCTTAGGCCAGCAATTCCCTCTAGTGGGAGGTATGTGAAACAGGTAGGTAAGCATAATGTCTACAGGTTAGGTCGAGGAAATTGCGGATCTGGCAAGAACCATGACATGAGGGCTTTGCAGATGCATGAACAAGACGTAAATGAATTGCTACAGTTATTATTAAGATTCTTAATATTAGAGCATAAGTCAATATATCCATACTCATTATTTATCATTTCTAAACTCATACTTCTAACTAATCCTAGTTTAAAGTCCTAACAACCCCCTCAACTGATTGTGAAGGACCTGTCTAGTATGAGGAGGTTGACAAGGAACCAATTGCCAGAGGAACCAGATTCACAGGAAAGAAGCCACTAAAAAAAATAGTATGAGAAAGAAGAACTTGAAGATAAACTTCTTAACACTGTAAGAGATCCTTGAGGAAATCCATGATATTGGTAAAACTATTGAATTTTCACTTAAAAAAAATATTTTGGGAAAGTGTGGAAGCTTTGGCCCCTGGAGAAGATTTTGGGTAAAAATGATTTTCCTTAAAAAAAAAATTTATACTTTTTTAAAAAAAATTAAATTAAGGGTTAAAGACTACATTTAAAAAATAATCACTCTAAAAGAAATTTCAATAAAAATAAAAACTATTAGCAGGGGGATGTGTGATCCCCCAGTTTTTACATATTGATATTAAATTTTAGGTGATACCCAAAACATTGCCCAAAACAACATTACCCCAATCCCTACCGATAAAAAATTTTTGGCACAACCCCAATTTTAGCAGACAAGTAAACCCAATAAGGAAAAATTGTCCCAAAACCCATTAAGCATAAAAAAATTGGTCCTTTTTCCCTGTGCAACCCACTTTAGTTAAAAAGACTCAGTAAATTTCCCAATCACCAAACAGAGGCATTTTAGGTTAGGAAACACTCGATATTTTGTCCCCTCCGGGATTCAATGTGAGTCCTTCTTTTTACCCAAAACACCCTACCATCCGAGCTAAAAAGATCCCCAGTAAAAAACCTTTTAAAAATTAACTCTTTAGAATAATAAAAAATATCATTATAAATATATAAATTCAAGGGAAAGCCTGGGGCAAAAGCCCCCCGTTCACCACGGAGGCCCGGGTTTGATTCCCGGCGGGTGGAAACATTTTGACACGTTTCCTTACACATGTTGTCCGTTACCAGCAGCAAATAGGGCCTGGGGGTTTGTCGACTGGTGGGGTCGCATCCTGGGGGCAAATTAAGGACCCCAAAGGGAAATAGTTAGACAGTCCTCGATGACGCATGACTTTCTTGGGTTACCTGGGTGGCTAAAAACCCCCGGGGTTTTAAAAAACCCAAAAAATTTTTTATCTTTTCTTACATTTGGAAACAGACACTACTGAAGTGAAACTGATTCTGCAACTTCATTTTTTTTTAAACAATCAAGTTTCACGAGGAGAAAAAATATTCGCATATTGTATAAAACCCTTTTTATTACTTTTAAATTTTTCATCCTTAGCAATAATATCATAAGAATCTATTGCAAAGACAACCAAAAATACAAGCTGCTAGATTCTCAAAAATCAAATTTTTTAAAATTTTTTAAATTTTTATGGATTTATCAAAATTTTTTTTTGTTCAATTAAAAAAATTTGCAGAAACCTTTAAAATTTAAAAATAATGAAAAATTTGGGCACAAAAAAATAACGAAAAAAAATAAAATGTTTTTCCCTTTAATTTTATTATCATATTGAGGCATTAATATTTATTACATTAATCATAACCAGTTTTTATAAGCATAAATCAAGTGATAGTTGATATCGGCTACTTGTTACTTTACAATAAAAATATGTTTATTTTCTCTTTTACCTACATAACACTGATTCAAGTTTTTGTGAGATGCAGAAATAATTTGCCATTTATTAATCCAGTTTGTATGATGACATTTTAGCTTTACCCTCTGTATCTTCATGTGACAATATAGGACACTGTCATTAACATACAATATTTGAGTACACTAAAAATTGTGTCATCAACATGCAGTAAGGTTTAATTCTAAAAAGAATATTATTTACATAGCATAAAAATAAGAGGGGAACCTATGATATTTCTACGTGAGATTAACTAGACATGTCGTGTGGGGGTTCGTATGCTGGAATTGGGTAAAATCACACACTTCGGGTGACTGGTAACTTATTATTATGGGTACTACAGGAGGAACTGCTAAGCCTGACCTGCTCTCTGCTACCCTGTTCCGAACTGAACTACTATCGTGCCTGGAGGGTGAGCGACATTCAAACAACATGCTTGGTCAGCAAAATGACTCAATAACAGTCAGTGATCATGTAAGAGGGAGGGACGGTGAATCAGTAATGGTTGGTATGAGTCACTATGACACTACTGGTAACTAATACTACTGAGAGACAAAGATTTCCATTTAGATTTTATAGTTACAGTTATGTGTTTGTAGTTGTTCAAATATGAGGAATCACTCCACTGATTTTTTTTTTATATTTAATATGTATTATGGTCTATGCAGCAAGCATTATTTGTACATTATCTTTAGGTATATTACTTTAGGTGTATTATGGTACACTATTTCATTAATGATATTTTGTATATTTCAAACGATGTTTTGTGTTATGGATGACAAAACTTTTTTATTTTTTTGCTACAGCCTTATAGGATTAATGTCAAACATTTGAATTTTATATGTTATTAGCAGCTTTATTCGGTGTAAGATGTATGTATCACTTTTATGTTACCAGTCAAGACAGGTTAATATCTTAAAATATACTGATAAAGGTAAACTCTTCAGTGTATACAGTGGACCCTCGCCTAACGATGGCATCGCATAACGTTAAATCCGCCTAGCAATACATTTTAACGCAAAAATTTTGCCTCGCCTAGCGCTAAAAAACTCACTCAACGCGATTCGTCCGAGACACGTCCACATGCGGCCTGAGCCAGCCTCACTTGTTCCGTGGGTGGCAGTGTTTACAAGCCAGCCTCCGCGGTCACATCCAAGCATACAATCGGAACATTTTGTATTATCACAGCGTTTTTAGTGATTTCACCTGCAAAATAAGTGACCATGGGCCCCAAGAAAGCTTCTAGTGCCAACCCTACAGGAATAAGGGTGAGAATTACTATGGATATGAAGAAAGAGATCATTGGTAAGTATGAAAGTGGAGTGCGTGTCTCCGAGCTGGCCAGGTTGTATAGTAAACCCCAATCAACCATCGCTACTATTGTGGCCAAGAAAACGGCAATCAAGGAAGCTGTTCTTGCTAAAGGTGCAACTTTGTTTTTGAAACAGAGATCGCAAGTGATAGAAGATGTTGAGAGACTGTTATTGGTGTGGATAAACGAAAAACAGATAGCAGGAGATAGCATCTTTCAAGTGATCATATGTGAAAAGGCTAGGAAGTTGCATGACAATTTAATTAGAAATATGCCTGCAACTAGTGATGATGTGAGTGAATTTAAGGCCAGCAAAGGTTGGTTTGAGAGATTTAAGAATCGTAGTGGCATACATAGTGTGATAAGGCATGGTGAGGCTGCCAGTTCGGACCACAAAGTGGCTGAAAAATATGTGCAGGAATTCAAGGAGTACATAGGCAGTGAAGGACTGAAACCTGAACAAGTGTTTAATTGTGACGAAACAGGCCTGTTTTGGAAGAAAATGCCAAGCAGGACCTACATTACTGAGGAGGAAAAGGCACTCCCAGGACATAAGCCTATGAAAGACAGGCTTACTCTGTTGATGTGTGCCAATGCTAGTGGTGATTGCAAAGTGAAGCCTTCATTGGTGTATCACTCTGAAACTCCCAGAGCGTTCAGGCAAAAGAATATCCTCAAGGCTAATTTGTGTGTGCTGTGGAGGGCAAACAGTAAGGCATGGGTCACTAGGGACTTTTTCTATGACTGGTTACACCATGCATTTGCCCCCACTGTGAAAAATTACCTAACTGAAAATAAATTTGACCTTAAGTGCATCCTGGTATTAGACAATGCTCCTGGTCATCCTTCAGACGTGGCAGAGCGACTTTCTGCAGACATGAGCTTCATTAAGATCAAGTTTTTACCTCCTAATACCACTCCTCTCCTGCAGCCCATGGACCAGCAGGTCATTGCAAACTTCAAAAAACTGTACACAAAAGCTCTGTTTGAAAGGTGCTTTGTAGTGACCTCAGAAACTCAATTGACTCTAAGAGAGTTTTGGAGAGATCACTTTAATATCCTCAATTGTGTAAACCTTATAGGTAAGGCTTGGGAGAGAGTGACTAAGAGGACTTTGAACTCTGCTTGGAAGAAACTGTGGCCAGAATGTGTAGACAAAAGGGATTTTGAAGGATTTGAGGCTAACCCTGAGAAGCGTATGCCAGTTGAGGAATCCATTGTGGCATTGGGGAAGTCCTTGGGGTTGGAGGTTAGTGGGGAGGATGTGGAAGAGTTGGTGGAGGAGGACAATGAAGAACTAACCACTGATGAGCTGCTAGATCATCTTCAACAGCAAGAGGCCACACCTGAGGAAACTGCTTCGGAGGAGGGGAGAGAGAAATTGAAGAAGTTAACTACTTCAAAGATTAAGGAAATGTGTGCAATGTGGCTTAAAGTGCAAACCTTTTTTGATGAAAATCAACCTGACACAGCTATTGCAAGCCGTGCTAGTGACTATTACACTGACAATGTTGTGAAACACTTTAGGAAAGTCATAAAGGAACGAGAGGTACAGGCCTCTATGGACAGATATGTTGTGCGACAGAAGTCCAGTGACTCTCAAGCTGGTCCTAGTGTCATTAAAAGAAGAAGGGAAGTAACCCCGGAAAAGGACTTGCTACCTCAAGTCCTAATGGAGGGGGATTTCCCTTCTAAACACTAAGACCATCCACACTCTCCCCTCCTCCCATCCCATCAATCATCACCAGATCTTCAATAAAGGTAAGTGTCATGTAACTGTGCATGTCTTCTTCAGTTTGTGTGTATTAAAATTAATATTTCATGTGGTAA